TATCACATTTGCATGAAAGTGGAGGAACTAGGGCATCAAATTCATCCCATAACAATCTTAATTTCAAAAAATAAGCAGAAACTGTCAAATTGCCTTGATGAATCGTGCAAATTTCCATGTGCAATTGGTAACCTCTTGATCCGTCAACCTTATCGAACCTTTCTTTGAGATCTTCCCAGACCATAGTTGTATATGTGGCATAGACTATACCACTAAGCAATTCCTTTGATACAGTCTTCATGATCTAAGCCAATACGAAAGCATTACATTTTTCCTGCTCTTCCAATTCTCCCTCATAAGCACTCCTCTTACACGTTCCTAACACAAACCCCAACTTACTTTTAGCTCAAAGGTTAATCATTATGGATCTGCTCCATAAAGAGTAATTTTCAGTTCCTGTAAGTTGCACGGTGGTGAGGACACTTCCAGGAGTATCTGAGTTGTGAATATAGTGGATGATGATGCTTTCGATCGATCTCTTCAAGAGTCTCAACTATAGTTACTCGTGATTTTCTTGGACATTAATGGAGGTATCTGTAGCATTCTCCATCAAGCTGTTTCTTCAGTAATCCCAGTCAAACAGTGAATGGATGATTGAATCGATTTCTGATTCAAAGCTCTGATACCAGATTGAGATTTACAAAAAGAATCGTATTGAAGAAAAAGAAGACACTCACATTCATTCAAAGCTTATGTGAGTTAGTTACATATGTGGGTATTTATACAATGCATTATATACATATGTTGCAGCTACAATATTAACAAACTAACTAACTCCTAACTGATCATTAATCAGGCAGGTTAATTAAATACCTAAGCTAAATAGTGACGATGTTATTCAGAAATTAACCCTACACGGCTACATCTTCTCCATCGCCAAAGAAAAAGGAAAGGCGCCAAAAAGCAGAATAGCGTGAATTTCAAAATTTCATTTTTCTCACCCCTACCCAACCCCCCCACCCAACACCTCCCTACCAGCACCCACCCCACCCCAAAAAAAATTTTAAGTTTGTTTTTAAAAAATATTTTCAACTTCAAAATTTTATTGTTTCACCCTGTTACAAAATGTACATAATCATATCTAATCATAATATTCATAGCATAATCATAGGTAGAGATCTTTAGGGATCTTAGAGATACTTAGGGATATTTTCTGATTTTATTTCCTTAGATAGATTTACTTGTACACCTATAAATAGCTCTTATTCTTGGAATAATAGTACAACGAAATTGATTTATTGGCTCTGTACTTTACATGGTATCAGAGCGGGTAATACTGCTTTGTTTGAGTTAGATTAGAACTCCTCTGATATACAAACACCAGACTCCGGTGGTCAGAGGAGAAGAGCGTAAGACTCACGCGCCAAGAAAGTTGCTGGAGACATTGCAGATCTTGAAGCACGTGAAAGTGTGTACGTGGATCTATCTTGGTCTGGTATTCTGTTACGATTTCGGCTTGACATTTCTGGACGATTTGTAGTGGTCCTCTAATCATCGGACCATATCTTGGAGAAGAAAATCCTTGAAATAGAATTTGTGCACTCTCATTGGTCAGGTTTGACACTTCTCTGTTTATTAGTATTTAGTCTTTCATTCTGATATATGATTGGAGACTGTTTGCAAAGTGCAACAGTAAGTTGAATGATTGCTCCACAATTTGTGAACTTGATATTGTTTTGGAGGCTATCTGCTGCTCATTTGGAAAATTGTTTTGAAGTGCAATTTCAAGTTTGGTTGTCAACCTTAAGATTTTGTCTGCCCGTTAGCTACTGTTTGTCTTTCCTTTTGGGTATAGTGTGACTTTCAGATATAGCCTACTTGGAATGTTCTATTGGTTTCAACATCAATTTGATCTGATACAGTGAGCATTTTAGTTGAAAAAAATAAAATAAAAAAATGACTGATCAAAGTGAGGTGGTTGCTGCTTCTAGTCCATTTTCTGACAAAATGGTTTTGATTTCGGTTGAGGAGTTCTCTGAATTCTCTCAATATAAGAAATTATTGAAGGAATCCACTTAGGTTAAAGCTTTCCCCAAGTCCGATAAATCATGTCTTATCACCTCTTCAAATAAATGGGTGATTGATTCAGGTGCCACCAATCATATAACAGGCAATCCTAATATTTTTTCTAGTTTTCAGCCACACAAAGTACCCTCTCTAGTTACAGTAGCTAATGGATCAACCTGTAACATCGTTGGATCTGGAACTGTTAAACCTACCTCATCTATTACCTTGTCATCTGTATTAAGTCTACCAAAATTGGCCTTTAATCTGATTTATGTTAGTAAAGTTACTAGAGACCTTCATTGTTATATCACTTTCTTTCCCGATTATTGCTTGTTTCGTGATCTTACTACAAATCAGGTTATTGGTAAAGGACATGTATCTGATGATCTATATATCCTTGATGAATGGGAATCTCGATTTGTTGCCTACTCAAGTATCGTATCTCCATTTGAAGCACATTGTCGATTAGGACATCCTTCTCTACCTTTGTTGAAAAAGCTTTGTCCTCAGTTTCAGCATATTTCCTCATTGGAATGTGAGTCATGTAAATTTGCAAAGCACCATCGCATCTCACTAGGTCCAAGGGTTAATAATCGAGTTCAATCTGCTTTTGAGTTAGTACATTCAGATGTTTAGGGACCATGTCCCATTGTTTCTAAAACTGGGCATAAATATTTTGTTACTTTTGTGGATGATTTTTCTCGAATGACTTGGATTTACTTTATGAAGAGTCGATCTGAAGTGTTTACAAAATGGAGTTGCTGAGAGGAAGAATAGGCATCTACTTGAGACAGCTCGGGCACTTTTGTTCCAATTGAAAGTCCCCAAACAATTTTGGGCTGATGCAGTCGCTACAGCTTGTTTTCTGATCAATCGTATGCCATCGACTGTGTTGGCAAGTAATATGCCTTATAGTGTTCTATTTCCAAACAAATCACTATTTTCGGTGGAACCTAAGGTGTTTGGAAGCACATGTTATGTTCGAGATGTTCGACCATCTGTTACTAAATTGGATCCAAAGGCGTTAAAATGTGTTTTCTTGGGCTATTCGTGACTTCAGAAAGGGTATCGGTGTTATTCTGTTGAGCTTGGCAAATACCTAGTGTCAAATGATGTGGTATTTTCAGAGGCAACACCATTCTTCTATGCACCTCCCATTTCTACAAGTGAAGTGGAGGAAGATGAGTGGTTGATCTATCAGGTTACTCGTGTTGTAACAAAACAATCAGATGACGTTGTTCTTCCGTCTTCCAGTTCATTCATTGAGAATCAGTCAACTATTATGCCTTCAGAAACTGCTTCATCCGTTCCAACAAGATTGCCAATTGTTCAAGTTTACTCGAGGAGGAGAGGTAATGATGATACTTATCCTACATCTCCTTCTTCATTAGTTCCTTCTCTATTTGATTCTTTAGAAAATTTTGACCTTCCTATTGCTCTTCGAAAAGGTACACGTCAGTGTAAATCCACATATTCCATTGCTAACTTTGTGTCTTATGACCACTTATCTCCTGCATCTAGCTGTTTGATTAGCTCTCTAGACTCTGTCTCTATTCCTAAAACAGTGAAAGAAGCCTTGACTAATTCTGGATGGCGTGATGCAATGCTTGAAGAGATACATGCTCTAGATGAAAATCATACTTGGGATTTGGTGGATTTACCCAAAGGAAAGAAAGCAGTAGGATGCAAATGGGTTTTTACAGTCAAAGTCAATCCTGATGGTTCTATTGCAAGACTTAAGGCTAGACTTGTGGCTAAAGGCTATGCTCAGACTTATGGGGTAGATTATTCAGACACTTTCTCCCCCGTAGCTAAGCTCACCTCTGTTTGTTTGTTTATTTCCTTGGCTGCTTCTCAACATTGGCCTTTGCATCAACTGGATATCAAGAATGCTTTCCTTCATGGTGATCTCCATGAAGAGGTATATATGGAGCAACCACCTGGGTTTGTTGCTCAGGGGGAGTATGGAAAAGTTTGTCATCTAAGAAAATCTCTATATGGTCTAAAGCAGAGTCCTCGTGCCTGGTTTGGAAAATTTAGAGATGTAGTTCAAGAATTTGGGTTGAAAATGAGCAAGTGTGATAATCAGGCTGCTCTACACATTGCCTCAAATCCAATGTATCATGAACGGACAAAACATATTGAGGTTGATTGTCACTTTGTCCGTGAGAAGATTCAAGAGAACGTGATTTCTACTGGCTATGTGAAGACAGGAGAGCAATTGGGTGATATATTCACGAAGGCTTTGAATGGAACTCGGGTGGAATATCTTTGTAACAAGTTGGGCATGATTAATATCTATGCTCCAACTTGAGGGGGAGTGTTACAAAATGTACATAATCATATCTAATCATAATATTCATAGCATAATCATAGGTAGAGATCTTAGAGATATTTAGGGATATTTTCTGATTTTATTTCCTTAGATAGATTTACTTGTACACCTATAAATAGCTCTTATTCTTGGAATAATAGTACAACGAAATTGATTCATTGGCTCTGTACTTTACACTAACCATTTCACCAACTGACAGAGTTAATCAATTAACGACCTATCTAACAGAAGTGATCAATCAGTTAACCAATTCCAATATAAACCATATATAATATAAATTCATCTAAAACTTAATCATGAGATATTACACTTTATTGGAGTACCAAATGAACCATTTAAATTTTAAACTCTGAGAGAAATACTAAAAACACTTTTAAACTCGACGTAAATTATTAGTTTCACTTATAAACTATTGACAGTCTTAAAAACATCTCTTAACTTGATTAACTAAACTTAAATACTCCCTCGATCTTACAACATAAATGAAATACACTCCTACATTCTCTCCACATTTACTATAGTCTCAACAATTCTTTCGTTTTTTTTATTAAAAGAGCATCTTGTTTCTATAAGAGTTTGAGAGTTGAGACCATCTGTTATGTCTTGTGGTAGATTGATGGTGTTTAAGTTAGTCAAGAAAAAAAAAGTTCATTTAAGTCGGTCAATAGTTCCGAGACTTAATAGTTTTCTTACCCCAGTTTCCTTGTCTCTCCCTAAAATGGCACACATATGTTCCCGCCAGTTTTCCCTTGTTTTGAATTTGATAAATATTTCTTGAAATTCTTTAGAAATCTTTGAATCTATTGAAAAACAAAATTGCATAAATTATTTGAATGGAGCATCAAAACTCGCAATCTTTTGTCTCTCAGTCACATTTCTATGTATCACTTCTCCAAGACAGCTTGAAATCGAAAGACCCATTTCCCATAAAGTTAATCCATGGCCGTATAATCAAATCAGGCATCCATTTAAGTGTTTTCCTTATGAATAATCTCATAAATGGTTATGCGAAAACCGGGTTTTTATCGTATGCTCGTAAAGTGTTTGATGTAATGCCTGTGAGAGATACTTCTTCTTGGAATACACTTTTATCTGGTTATTCAAAAGGGGGTTTAATTAATGAAGCACATTCGATATTTAAGGAAATGCCTTATCGGGATTCTGTTTCGTGGACTACTATGATTGCTGGGTACAATTTCGTTGGTCGTTTTCAGGTTGCAATTCAGATGTTTCTTGAGATGGTTAGTGCATCTGATGTTTTGCCGACACAGTACACATTTACGAGTGTTTTTGCGTCGTGTGCTGAGATTAGAGCGTTAAACGAGGGACGGAGAGTTCACTCCTTTGTTGTTAAATTTGGGTTGAGTAGTTATGTTTCTGTGGCGAATTCTATGTTGAATATGTATGCTAAGTCAGGGGATAGCAATGCAGCTCAAATGGTTTTTGATGGGATAGTAGTGAAAAACACGTCGAGCTGGAATACGTTGATCTCATTGTATATGCAGACTGGTCAGGTGGATTTAGCATTGGCGCAATTTGAGCAAATGAATGAGCATGACATAATTTCGTGGAACTCAATGGTTACGGGCTATAATCAGCGTGGCTTTGACGTTCTAGCTCTTAATATGTTTTCTAAAATGCTTAAAGAATCGTCACTGGAACCTGATAGATATACTTTAGCCAGTGCTTTATCAGCTTGTGCTAATCTTGGGGAACTAAATGTAGGAAAACAAATACATGCTTATCTTGTCAGAACTGAATTCAACACGTCAGGAGCTGTTGGAAATTCTTTGATTTGCATGTATTCCCGAAGTGGTGGCGTAGACATTGCTCGAAGAATTTTAGAGAAAAATAGAGAGTCCAATCTAAATGTAATTGCATTTACAGCACTACTGAATGGGTACATAAAGCTTGGTGATATAAATCCAGCAAGGAAGATTTTTGACTCATTGAAGGACCGCGATGTAGTTGTTTGGACGGCGATGATTGTTGGTTATGTTCAAAATGGCTTTAATGATGATGCAATGGAACTTTTTAGGTTAATGGTTAAAGAAGGGCCAGACCCGAATAATTATACTCTAGCAGCAATGTTAAGTGTTTGTTCAAGCGTGGCATCGTTAAATCATGGTAAGCAAATCCACTCAGCAGCCATTAAGGCAGGGGAAGCGTTATCAGTTTCTGTTAGCAATGCCCTGATAACTATGTATGCCAAGGCTGGAAATATCAGCTGCGCAAGGAGAGTATTTGATTTGATACACCTGAACAGAGACACGGTCTCTTGGACTTCAATGATCTTGGCTTTAGCTCAGCATGGACTTGGAGCTGAAGCCTTACAATTGTTTGAGAATATGCTTGCACTTGGGATGAAGCCTGATCATATAACGTATGTTGGTGTTCTTACTGCTTGCACACATGTAGGATTGATTGCTCAAGGCCGTAGTTATTACAAAATGATGAAAGAGATTCATGGAATTGAACCGACATCAAGCCATTGTGCTTGCATGATTGACCTCTTTGGTCGTGCTGGATTGCTAGAAGAAGCACAAGACTTCATAGAAAATATGCCTATCGAACCAGATGTGATCGCATGGGGTTCGCTTTTAGCATCTTGTAGAGTTCACAAAAAAATGGAGCTAGCAAAAGTTGCAGCTGACAGATTGCTTTCAATTGATCCCGAAAACAGTGGGGCCTACTCAGCACTTGCTAATGTGTATTCTGCTTGTGGAAAATGGGCGGAAGCTGCTAAGATCAGAAAATCAATGAAGGATAAACAGGTCAAGAAAGAACAAGGATTTAGCTGGATTCAAATAAAAAACGTAGTCCACGTCTTTGGTGTAGAGGACGGGCTTCATCCGCAGAGAGATGCTATTTACAAGACAATGGAAAAAATCTGGAAAGATATCAAAAAGTTGGGATTCATTCCTGACACCGAGTCAGTGCTTCATGATCTTGATTATGAGGTGAAAGAGCAGATTCTTAGACATCATAGTGAGAAGCTTGCAATTGCATTTGGGTTAATAAATACCCCGGAGAAAACTACTTTAAGGATCATGAAGAACCTTCGAGTATGTAATGATTGTCACTCAGCAATCAAATTTATCTCCAAGCTCGTAGGGAGAGAAATCATTCTGAGGGATGCCACTCGTTTTCACCATTTCAAAGGAGGTTTCTGCTCATGTCGTGACTATTGGTAGGTCATGAACCAAATTTTATCTAAAATTCCACATTGGAGCGTCTGGACAAAATTCGAACGGAGGTTTGAGAAACTCATACATAAAGGTAAACATTACTACCAAGTATGGTGGTGCTGTATAACTTTGTCATCCTGTCAGTAGCTCCTCAGAGCGGCTTTGTGGTATACAACAACAATAACAAAATACACAGTGTAATTCCACAAGTGGATCTGGGGAAGGTAGAGTGTACGCAGACCTTACCCCTGCCTTGGTAGGTAGAGAGTCTTTTCCGATCAGAGTGGCTTTGTGGTATACGTAATAAATTGTAAAATAAAAAAAAAATCAAATATTTTTGTATATTCATCATTTACAGACTCAAATGTTATCTTGGAGAACTGCTTCTGCATGATTCCACACGACTAATCTCTTGGATGAACTATGGTCTCTCCTTCATCTCTCAGTACACCAAGTCAGGTACGAATACATACATTTCTAGGTCAACTTCACAGGTTTAAAGTTCTATTTTCATGGCAATCAAGATCATTGTCATCTGATATTGTCCATTGCAGATGTAGAATACATGATTTCCCTTTGCTGTTGCTCTAGTTTGTGGCTGCATGCAGAAGGTAGAGCAGGTCATTATTCTCAGATGACTCTACTGACATTTATCTCATTGTTAGGTAAATTCATCTCTAATAAATGTCGTTCTCAATAGCTGATTGATAGTCTCATGCATCGACAAAAGTAGTTCAAGTTTTGGAATAAGAAATAGATGTAAAACAGTTTATCTGTATTACTAACAATTACAATCATAGGGAAGTGGATGGTGAACCAATAGCGTAGACGAGGTTTGAGGAAACCTGATTCACACTTGTAACTACTTTGTGTTGGTGTGATATTTTAATATTAATAAAAATATATTATATGTCACATTATATATCATGTTATGTCTATTGATGGATATTACATTTGTGCCTCTTTACTCTCATCAATTGTGGAAGAAAGTGGTCATTAGTTTTTAGTAACTTATGTAACCACCAACTCTTCATTTCATCCATTATTCTATCTTTATGTCTTGTAACTTGTGTAACATTTGAGCCATTCATTTGGCAAATTTACTACCCACTATCTTCCTATTCATTGCAAGGAAGAATTCATCAACTATAAATAGTGGGTCTTCCTTTGTGTTGGTATAGAAGAAAAAACAAGATAAGTACAAGAAAATATCAAGTGAAAAAGATGAGTAGTATTTTATTGTGTTTATATTGAGATTAGTGTTGTAGTGAAAGAGAGAGTTGAGACAAAGAAAATATTCTAAGTCTTCAACTATATTCACTATATAAAAAGAGAATATTTATATGTTGAAGGAAGGGCGTTCTTATGTGGAGCTTTGGACTCTTCAACTAATCCGGAGTTGTTTGAGTTGTACGACATTGTTGGGTTGTTGTATGCTGGAGGGGACAAGTCAAGAGTATTACTGTTGGATCGGTGTAGATTATACCGCAGTGGGCTTGAATCTCCTTAAAGAGAGCGAGATATTCGTGCCTCAGCCTAAAGAATTATTTATTCATTTTTGTCATTTTATTTTCAACTGTAATTTTTTGTATTTGTGGTATATTATACCAACACTTTGCATGTACGATGATAGTGCAGTTGCCCGTGTTGCCTTTAGCAGAAGGTCAAGATATCTAACACATTTGCCTATTGATATACAACAACAACAACAACAAATCTAGTGTAATCCGATACCGGGGATTTAGGGAGGATAGAGGGTATGCAGACCTTACCCCTACCTCATGGAGGTAAAGAGGCTTTTGCTTATATCAATACAACTGTTTAATCCTGAATTTCAGATCATTCTTAGAATTTTTTAATTGGTAAATCACATGTTTGTTCTTCCTTTTTTCTGCAGGGGCCGAGCTGATTGTGTAACAAAATGGAGAGAACTAGTGTATGACGACAATAATGCTGAGATGCAGGGACAGTTTATTCTGCGTTCTTCGAGTTGTCTTTGTTGTTTAATAGTGTATCAGTACTATCATAACCAGAAAAACAGTACAAATTTAGCAATTTTTGAATATTTCATCAAGCTGATAACTGATATACCGAGTTAATATCTCAAAAGATCACTCAATTTTGAAAATATATCTAGTAAAGTCATTGAACTTTGTTTTATATCAATAAAATCATTCAACTTAGGTGTTTATATCAATAAAATCACTCAACCAAACTTGTCTTTATTTCTTTTTTAATATGACAAAATAATTTTTTCTTATGTCATGTAAACATGGACTCCACAAATAAATAATTTTAAAAAAAAAACTCATTAAGGATTTATAATGTAAATTTAGTACTTTTTTAAATAGAAAATTTAAAATGCCTAAAGCATTACATCAAGAAAAAAAAAATCCTTTTTGATGTGGTTAACTTAAGTAGAATTTATAATACTTTTTAAGTAGAAAATATAAAACCATAAAACACTAAAAAAGATACGTACAGATCTATAGGCAATAGTACTGTTTTCTTTCGCTGGTATACTTATCGATCTATTGACAAATCAAGAACAGAAATGAATCGAAGTGAGGTATATAACTATATATAGTTGATGTGTTGTTTTAATTCTTAGCAATAATTTAATTATTCATTTATCAGTATATATATTTATGGTGGAAAAGGGAGATTTTCAGTTAATTAGTTATTTTAATAATAAATTTGATTGAGTGATTTTATTGATATAAAATGTTAAGTTGAATGATTTTAGTGATATAAAACAAAGTTCAATGACTTTTCTAGATAAATTTACAAAGTTGAGTGACATTTTGAGATATTAACTCCTGATATACCAGTTATGAATTCAAGAAATGTACCATATACAGCGCAAATGGTGGTGTGTTGTTTTTTCCTTCTTGTTTAATTTAGCTGTCCTACTGACTAAAGTTTCGTAGACAAATTAGTTTTATAACGTACATTCTTGTTGCCAGAAACTCCTCTAATTTAAATTGAGCTTTGCTCAAATGTTGTACCTTCTCTTTTTACATGAAAAGCACCTATTTGTGTTTTAGGCAAGATTTTATTTATGCCTAGAATATGCACACCTTAATTTTGTATACACAAATGTAGAAGTAGGAACCCCTACTGCGATTTTGACAGCAAACGCGTCTTGTCCCAGATTGAGTAACCTAACCCACCCTTAAGGAGGTTTTTTCATAGTTGGGTGTTTGCTGTAGTGTGCTTTACTAAGACTGCTAGGTTTGGTAATATCCAAAACAAATAAAAAGAGGTCGAGATTTGAATTGGAGAATTCCAGAACACGTATCAGATAGTGCTCCGATGGCAGTGGGGGCACATTGCACAACTGAGATAATTTCAACTATTTGAAATGAAAAATAAGAGAGTTAGTGTTCAATGAGCATGAGATAGTTGTCCGTCCCAGGTACGGTCTTTCTTTGGTATTTGATTTTGGCCCGACTAATCTGGGTTAGCACTCAAAAAATCTCATTTTTGGGAGATAAAGTATTTCCTACCAACATTCCCAAGTTCAAATCCTAATACGAATGAATACTTACCATCCTATCATGACGGTAGATTGTCTATATATAATTTTTCCAATCTCTTAGATTTTATATACTAAAATATAGATGGTAAATAATTTACAATACTACATATTTATAGTATAAAAAAAAAAAAAAAAAGAGTAGTGGTTTCAAACATTAAAGTCATTTTGAAAAACTGAGTTTTCCCTCTAAAATGTTTGTTAAGAGGCGCATAACAGACTTGTATAAATTCAGTTGTGAGAGAACCCACAAAGCACTGTAACTCCCATTATTCCAAAATCTCCATTTCTCTGAAAATTTTAAAGAATCAAAGATCTGATGAAGATTCAATTATTATCTCAGAGATCGAAGAAAACAAGAGAAGTAGTGAGTAATTGGTGGTCGAAGAATGTAGCCGACAAATTGAAGAAGAAGATGAATGTCCTGAAGAAATGGTGTGGAAAAAACTTGAAGAGAAACGCAAAGACAGAGACGAAGATAAAGAAGAAGAAGCCAATTAAATTACGAAGAGGAAGAAGTGGAGTGTGGGTAGCAAACTGGAATAAAAAGAAGATTGAATGTATGGATGTAATGGGAAACGAAAGTCGAAAAGCTCGAACAAGAATGTGGCTTCAACAAGCAGAAGAAGAAGAAACTGATGAAAACTAAGGTCCAAATTAATTCTCAATTGAATTTTGTGATTTCCTTCTTCGTCGTAACAAAAATTGATAGTATGTTGTTCTTCAGTAGTAGAGAAACAGAGTACTCTGATTTTTTGCAATTTGAGTAGTTCATTATGTGATCGGATAAAAGTAGGAAATTCTTAGATTTTTCATAAAATAAGATCGACGTGATGTATTGATGAATGTGAAGAAGAAAGACTCAATGTTCGCATTCATACAAGTTGTTCTAGTAGAATTTTACAGCGTCTAAAATCTTAATTCTGTTTTCTAATAGTACGATTTTTGTGATCATAGTATATGTCTTTTCGATATGTTGAGTCTTTTAAGTTTAGTGAAATATATTCTTGACGATTACTTTGTTCGTGATCTTGTCATCCTTGCTCGACTTATTTGTGCAATAATCAAGTGGTGGATACTTTCATTTGCATATTAATAAAAACTGATTGTCTTGTAAAATAACGCCATATATCAATTGCACTATTATTTTCTAACCATTTCCACAATATCAAAATTTATCATTTTTTATGTCAAGTAATCCTAATCTCACAATCATTTGAGTATCCAACCGAACCGTTTTAAAATCTTTTAAATTCTTCAAGAATTTTTATATCATTTATCGTTTAACTAAACATGACAGTCATTCATTATATATATTCTTTATTTTTTTGTCATGTTACACTAAAGAAACCTGATTGCATGTATAATAAGAAAAAAGTATCTCCATAAAATAATTTCATGATTTTTATGAAAAAATTTTATGTCACAAAACACAAACAGTAATTTCTATAGCTTACTAATTTTATTTTATTTTCATTCTAATTTCGCTCAAAAATTCATTGGTAACCCACTGACATTATACCTTGATTTTGAGCTATAAACCCAAGAGAATATTTCTTTCAAGTGAAATTTTCTTTTGGGTTTCCCACAAGTGAGGTTTGAAAAGAATAGAATATACGTAGATCTTATCACTATCCTCACCTTGACCAAGAAACAATATTTGGCTTCATTTCAAAGTACTAACGTGACACCAAAATCTGACACATATTAATAAAAAATAAACTTGTTACACTGTGGAAAATAAGATTATGAAGAAAGATGCTTAGAGGCTATAAAGCTAATTAATTACTATCTTTATTTTGGTGTGAATTAACCAGCAGTATGGATGCCCCTAACTATTCAAGGCCCCTAGATCAATTGGTTTTGTAATGCACATTACACTAATTCATGTTTTTTTTCTAAGACTCAAATATGTTATCATACTATTAGAAATGACTCATCTATATCATTCAGTAAAAGTTTGATTCATTTATATTATCGTCGATACAAAATAGGCTGATTTATGTCATTATTTTTTAACGGTGATTTTGTAAAACCAGCTTTGCCACATGTGGCCTCTATTTTCATCGTTAAAAACTAGAAATAATATTGTTCAGAGAACTAGCTAGGCTGCTCTAGATTATAGTTGAAGTTTTTGAGTGTCTATTGAGTCATGTCAAAGTAGAGTCTCTTTTATATATGTATCATCATCGTGTCTGTTTGTGTTTGAACTGAGGATCAAAACTAACAAACGTCTGCCGATAACGACGTAAAATCAAGTAAACATTGATAGACTAATTAAACTACGTCAAAAATGATGGATCAGTTGAAGAAAACCAAT